CTTTATGCACCAAGAGCTTGTAACACTCCAAAGAGAAAGGAAAAATTGAAATCGCATCATATGACCCCTTTAAGCACTCTAAAGTTCAACTAATTGCATTTAATATCAATTTAAATTATAATATATTTGTTTAATTGTAAATAAAATGAACTTAAGTGTCACTAAACATTACATTCAGTTCACACTTTAGAATATTATTTTAAAGAATATTATTTGCATAGTAAGTACTCTTTTCTGAAGTGTAACTCTTTTTCACAAGGGTAGTGATGTACTGAAATTTCGCAATCCAACAATATTCAACCAGTTTTCAGCTAAATGAAAACTTTAATTTTGGTTTCTGTTCAAAATGTATTTACTATTATAAATCATATAACATTACATTATATTATATTACATTATATTATATATTGCCAGTGACTGGTTTTTGGACGCTTTGGAACTTTGCACAAATTTAGTAATGATAAATCTCTTCTCTTATTAGCTCTATTTGTTGCCCATTCAAAGTATCAAAACAAACTGTCCATTGAAGATGCTCCACCCTTCTTACATAGAAAAGGACCCTTTGTGAGCTTAGTTTGAGGGGCCACAACAGTAGAAACTAGGGCCCTGTTTTAGCAAGATCCCTCAGGTTTGACTCCCTAAGGTGTGACTCTCGGCCAACAGGGTCATGAAGAGTTCACCAAAGCAAGTTAACATTACTGCGTAAGTTTTGCATTGCAAAACATCTCCCTGGCCTCCTTTCCTCTTCCTCTTGACTCGAACCCCACCATCCCTCACTTTCTGCTCTCTCTGTGACTTGAATAATGCTCCCTCTCTCCATGTGTACTCTAGGGGTCATGGGAAGATCCCTGTGTTCTCACAGATTGTGAAACTGTATCTTGTTAAATCATGGAGATGCCTTTGTGAGCTGGGGAAACAGGGACTGGGGCTTTTTCATGGAAATCCAAGTCTAGTCCATAAATAGCTCTCTCTTTCTCTCCTCCTATCATTGTGTAAGGGGCTGTTTGTAACGTTTCTTTCTTTCTGTGATTCCAGGGCATCTTTCGAGGTGATGCTGAACGGTTCAGGAGCTGCCAAGGATCATAAGTAAGTGCATGTGCAAAGTACTTCACATTAACATGGGTTTAGCGGTTTGAGAAACGCAGAAAGCAAGTTTTGACCTTCAACAGATGCTTTGAGAGTTTGTCTTACTTGAGACTGCATGTCATCTGCAGGGATCCTGGTCAGTAATCACTCAGACTCACTGCCTGAAAGAAACAGCATTCAAAATACTGTCATTTCTTGACAATGCAGAATTCATGTAGGCACTTTTAATGAAAAACATTTAATGCTAAATCATGAGGACTTTTGAAATGTTACTTTATTGTTTATTTCTATTTTATTTAAATCAGTAATTGACAACAGTATTTAATTATAAATGTTTATATACTTGAATCACTGCCACTCTTGCCAACAATTCTCAATGGAAAGTAGCTAAATCCTGTTTGAAAAGTTGCTAGATGACGTCATGTGATAATTAGCATATTCATGATGTCACTGGATCATATTTCCATTCTGTCTAGTGTCAGCCCTTTAAACAGTACGTCTGTTTGCTTCTCTTCTACTCTCTGTGTTCACATACTGTATTCCAGCCAAATTCCTAATAAAGCTGTTCTCATATTTGTTTAATATATTTAAGTATATGCATCTGTTGTCAGACAATGGAAAACAAATATGAAGTAGTGACTGAAACACAGCAAATCTCTGAATCTAGTGACAACATCGTTAAGCAACACTGATTGCTAATATATGAAGGAATAATCAATACCAAGCCCACTTTCTGTTCTCACCACAGATGTGAATCATCAAAGAGTTCAATCAAGATGCAAATCCATTAATTAACTAAATGGAGCTTTATTTTGAACCACAGAACTGACAGGACATGAATGTATTAAGAAGCTCTTTTTGAGTGCCCAATTTATTTCTTACGTACATACTTTGTTGTCCTGAGAAATATGTGTATAATTTATATATATATATATATATATATGGAAGAATATTCAGGTCTATGGAAGAATATTCAGGACTTTTTTTAAAAAGCAATTGCAAATTGTATTTTCAATTGAGTGTGAGTGTGTGTGTGTGTGTGTGTGTGTGTGTGTGTGTTAAAGTTTATTTATTAACTGCTGCTTATTCTCACAAAAGCTGTTTATAGTTTGCTTTGTTCCTTTTCTCTTACAGTGTGTTTCTCTCTCATCATACACATGGATAATACAAACATTCTTGGATTCAATCCCAACAATTCTTTGCATGTTTTGCTTTCTCACTGTCTTGGACAGAAGCATTTTGTGGCATGGTCCTAGTGGCTGTTGTACAGAGTTTGTTTCATTTCATTTTTTTGTAATTATTATATGTGCAAACCCAGAAAACTACACACAAAAAAGACATTGAAACGTGGACATTCCTGCACTGTTGCCATGGCATTGAATAACTAAACAATGACCAGTGGTCAAACTTTCCAACAAGCCATAACCACAGATGACCAATCAGAATATCTGGTATAAACAACTTCCCAAATAACTGAACCAAAAAATGTTTAAACAAGCAAAATTGTTTCAAATATAAGAACATTTTCCTACAGTTCTACAAAAAAACTCAGTCATCATGGCAACCAGTGAGCTGTCCAACATGAAATGTTTCATATGACTTTAGCTTTCCATTTGACATCAATGTTTCCCACTCAGAGAGCGAAACCATGAAGCAAGCGCTCCTAGAGATGTGCTTTCCATGTAAGATGATTAACTATGAACCGAGACCATAATGATATCCGTCAGTTTCATGAATGCTGTATCCATCTGCTATGAACATTGGGCTGTTCACACAGGGGATTATATGTTGGGTTATTCTCTTCTCTCATTCTCTTGGCCCAGATGACTCACCAGTCTTGAATGAGCTCCATTACATAACAGAAAACAACAATTGAGCGTGTGTTTATGTATGTGTGCTTCACAATGATCTCTCAGTTAGGGTCCCACAGTTGGGCGGGGGGTTATTTGCATGAGTGGCACTGCTTATTAACATACATGGATTTGCATGTACTGTATTAATTAGTGAGGGTAAACTCACTGACAGAAGTGAAATAGGACTCTGGAATAGTTCACTAAAAAATTACATTTCTGTAATTTATTCACTCTCATGCCATTTCAAACCTACAGAGCCCCTAAAGGGACATAGTGATTGAAAAAATATGAGATGGGAGAAAAAAATTATATTGCACTGCTTTTGCATTTGCTTTCAAAAATATTGCGTTCCTCCAAGAAACTTTGGGTTTGCTCACAAAACTTTTGCATTCCCCCCCCAAAACCGTGCATTGACTTTTGCATTTTCTCGCAAAAATAAAAAGATTTGCAAGTGATCACAAAGTTTTTGGGGGAATGCAAATGTTCTGTAAAAGAAGGCAAAGATATTGCAATACTCCCATCTCATATTTTTTCCATTACCATGTCCGCAAAGTTTCTGAGGGGAACACAATATTTTTGTGAGGGAATGCAAAAGTTTTGCAATTGAAAGCAAAGTTTTGGAAGTGAACACAAAGTTTTTTAGGGGAACGCAAATGTTTTGCAAGCGAACACCAAATTTTTTTGAAACACAAAGTTTCTCTGGGGAATGCAAAAGTTTTGCAAGCCAACGTAGAAAGTTTTGAAAGTGAATGCAAAGTTTCTCCGGGAATCGCAAAAGTTTTGCAAGTGAACAAAATTTGTTGGGGGAACGCAAAAGTTTTGAAAGCAAACACAAAGTTTCTCAGGGGAACACAAAAGTTCTACAAATGAACACTAAATTTCTCCGGGGAATGCAAAAGTTTTGCAAGCCTATGTAAAAGTTTTGAAAATTAATGCAAAGTTTCTCGGAGGAAACACAAAAGTTTTGCAAGCGAACGCAAAGTTTCTTGGGGGAGGTAACAATTTATTATAACTTTCATTAATAAATCATTAACAAACATTTTATAATGCTTAACAGATCATTAGTTAATATATTCAAATAGCTAAAAATATGAGATAATGTGCTTGTTAATGTTTACTAATGAACTTATTAAACATTACCTAATGATTAGCAGATCATTATTTCATATAAATGAATATGCTTAAAAATGTCATTAAACTTTCAATTCATACAATCACGCACTTTTTACAACTCTACAAATGATTTGAACAGAAATTATACAATGATTAAAAGCTTAATTGTCATTCAATTTAGTTCACATATTACCTAATGCTCTTTTTTCATTTACAAATGTTGTGAATAAAATAGCTTAATTAGTCATTTTAAGCACTTCCCAAACTACTCATGTTAACATATTATTCATTAACTAACTCATAATCACCGTCTGTAAAGGTCACATATTTATGGTCTGCATTTGTTGTGTAGACTTCTACTATTTACACATCTTAACAAAATCTACATTTATTAATTAATTATGTTTTTGCAGCACCCAATCTAAAGTGGAAACTATTTATCATTTGTAAATGTTTATAAATGTTTACCAATCATTAGTAGCTTTATGAGCAGTCATCTGAATGGCAAAAAGTGTCCCGAATGACCTGACTTCAACCTATTTACACATCTTTACAAATCATTTATTAATCATTTGTTCATGTTTTTGCAGTAGCCAATCTACCCAATAGTGGAAACTATTCTTCATCTGTAAATGTTTGTAAATGTTTACTAATCATTTAGTATCTTTATGGGCATTGAAAGTTTAGCTGCTGCAACAACGTTTGTGTAAATGGTGGTTAGTTAAGTTTAGATAAATGCTTGCTAAAGACATAACAAACATTGTAATTTGGGTGCAAAACATGTTTTATTGCCTCAACATTTATATTATTCCTACATCAACAGGAGAAAACAAAACAGTGTTTCAAGAAAATACTTGTTTATTTATCAAAACAATGTCATATAAACCGTGTTCCCATATAGCCTAGTAATCAAATTGACGTCTGTACATTTCTTACACCTTAACCAACCCGTAAACCAACCCATACCACCAAACCTGTCCCTAACCTTACTCGTAACCCACCTCAATTGCAGCAAAAGTGTTGTACATTAACAAAAGCTTTTAATCATTGTATAACAACCATTTGCAGATTTTCAAGGTGCATGATCATATGAATTAAAAGTTTAATGACATTCGTAAGCATATTAATTACTATGAAAGAATGATCTGTTAATCATTAGGTAATATTTAATATGTTTATTAGTAAACATTAACAAGCACATTATTTCACATTTCTAGCTATTTGAATTTATATTAACTAATGATCTGCATTATATAATGCTTGTTAATGATTTATTGATGAGAGTCATTATTAAGTGTTACCCAGCCAGGACATTTTCCTCAACAACTTATTTTGTGTTAGACGGTAAAAGGAAAGTGGGTTTGGCACGTGTGGGTGCATACAAAACATTACAAAAACATTTTGAAATCCCCATAAGATAGCATAAAAGCAAACCCTGATTAAACCGTGTGTCCATTTCCCTTTCATGACATGATGTGACACATGCAAGGATCACAACTGCATTTGACGTTAAAATGTTACAAACAAATCATTCATGTTCATTCTCAGTTTGTAAAAGGGTAAAGATGTCAGTTCTTTGAATTAAACACCAAGGCCATTCATTCATTCACTTTACAATAAAGAACCTTTCGCCTGTTTTTACATTTATAAATATGAAAAGCTTTTGTTGTAGACTGGCATGCTTTGTGAAGTCATATATCAAGAGTTTTTTTAGTCAAAATAAAAGAAAGACCCATAATACTCAATAGCCATTTCGGAAATGGTACAACTGAGCATGAAGGAGTGTTGATTTATTGCTATGTCTCTACATGTATGGAGGAAACAAAGAGAGTGGTGTGGGTGTGTGTGTGTGTGTGTGTGTGTGTGTGTGTGTGTGTGTGTGTGTGTGTGTGTGTGTGTGTGTGATTATACATGTGTATGAACCTGTCAGTGGACTATATCCTGCACCACTCAAAACTAGGGATGGGTCACAGTGGCCATTAGTGAGTTTGACTAGTTTTATTTTTCCATATTTAATCTTAATTTTACTTTTATTTTTATTATTATCATTATTATTATCTTAAAGGATTTGTTCATTTATTTTCTTTAACATTCAGTTTGCAATCTAAAACTCTCTTGCTGCAGCCATATACTAATATTCAAAAGTTTTTGTTTTTTTGTTTTTTGCATCATATTAATGTGTTTTATTATATTTT